AAGGGACTTGGGTGAGACGACAGTGGGGGACTTGGGTAAGACGACGACAGTGGCCCCACCAAGGTCAGCAGCCGTCGTGGAGGACACGGAGGCGGCCGCCAGAGCAAAAGCAAGGCAGCTGCAATTGAAGGCTTTGTTGGCTGCGAGTGCTAGGAAGTTGTCTGAGCTGAGCCTTTTCAGCATTTGTGCCTTTTGCATCATGGGTAGGGTATGCACCCTAAACATCCAGTGGTTTTCATTCTGAGGAAGAGGGCCAATGCTATGAAAGGCGAAAGCGCCGACAGAACCTTAGCTTCACTATCAACAAAAAAGAACGAAGCCTTTAAGATGTTGTGCTTGATTCTCAGGTTCTGGCAAGCTTGTCAAGGACAACAAGGTCCTCGGTGGTTCCATGGATACAATGGAGACAGTGCCGTGGGATGAACTTCCGAGTTCGCCCTTGCCCTTGGCCCGACCCTCCAGTGTGATAGACCTGGATACACCCGAGAAATCTCTTGTGAAACAAGAAGGTTTGGATGCTTTGGAGTTGCCCCCGCCAGCAGCCTTGGCAGTTGAGCCCGTGGAGCCTTCTTTGACCTCGCCAGAGGCCACCCCGAGGCCGAAGCATTCCGACTTGCTGTACAAGAATGATTTGACCCCAGAGAAGGAGGTCTGGTGTTCTGATAAAGATCTAGAGCTATAGGAATAGGGATTGTTAGCCCCCTTTTGTAGATGCCGGCAGGTTCTGACACGAGATGCTCAGCTTCGCATCAAGGCCGCTTCTGATGGTGCTGAGGGAAAGCCGGGTCGAGGCCGTGGACGTGGCCGTGGACGGCAGAGTTCCAAGGCCAGGAAGAACGACACGAAGCAGTCCAAGAAGACTGCTCCGAAGGGCACTCCGAAGGCTCCGAAGGCCACAGCTTCTGAGCCCCAGGAGTGGGATGATTGGGCTGAGTGGGATGGCTCAGCTGAATGGAACGATGAGGAGTGGGACGCCTCAGCTGAGTGGAACGAGGAGTGGGACGGCTCAGCTCAGTGGAACGATGAGGAGTGGGCTCAATGGGAGGCAGGGACCTGGAAGCCCAAGAAACGTAGCCGTGAGCCAAAGGTTGCAGCTGGAGCCTCCAGATCCAAGCCTGTGGGCAGGGCCCGCCCTGGCGATCATGCTTCCATTCATGCTGTGGATGAGACCGACACCTTCAGCTATCCACACACCTTTGCCCGTCGCAACAAGCCCCCCATCAAGGGAAGCGATTCCGAGAAGCTGTGGATGGGCATTGCAAAAAGCTTCCTTCAGGAGATTGACCACACCCTGGAGAAAGGCACCCGAACCGAAGCCGAGGCAGGAATCACGCACGAAGGCATGTGCTGTGTTAACACGATTAAGATGTCACTTAGTTTTCATGTCTGGGCTGGCTTGTGCAGGCGAACTACTGGAAGTATGCCAGACTTCGCTGGGTTGACAGCGGCATCGACCCTCGAGATCCTTGCTTCCCCGAGCTCATGGAGATGGCAGCCCAGGAGTTTGTGGTGCTTCGCCCTACTGCTGCCGAGGTTCTTGTGGGGGATAAGATATGTTACTTATAAAGTTATTGATTTCGGCTGATTGAGTTAAGTTCTTAGTTTTAGCTTTAGGGTAGTTGGGTCCTTTGTGCATTGGGATGTGCTGCTGATAATGCAGTGATCAGAATATTTCGGCCACCGGCTACCGGAGCACAGCTTTTGCCTGAGTCCTAGTGACTGGAAATGAGATGAGTTCGTTA